GGATGATTTAATTTAATGTCGAAGTCGTATTTTGATAGAAAAAAAATCCGCAAAAATCGGCCTATTCTTTCCCTTGTCACAGTAGACTTCCTCCTTCATCCTGAATGTGTCACCGTTTTAATAAATAATTTTTACTGGGAAGAGATGTCCCGGGGACACTTATCCTGGGTAGACTTGTCCTGCATTTGTCACTGTTTTAATAAACAATTTTTCACTGGGGAGAGATGTCCCGGGGAGACTTGTCCTGAATTTGCCATTGTTTTAATAAATAATTTTTACTGGGGAGTGATGTCCCGGGGAGACTTGTCCTGAATTTGTCACTGTTTTAATAAACATTTTTTAACTGGGGAGTCATGTCCCGGGGAGACTTGTCCTGGGGAAACTTGTCCTGAATTTGCCACTGTTTTAATGAATATTGTTTATTAGGAGTGATGTCCCGGGGAGACTTGTCCTGAATTTGCCATTGTTTTAATAAATAATTTTTACTGGGGAGAGATGTCCCGGGGAGACTTGTCCTGGGGAGGCTTGTCCTGAATTTGTCACTGTTTTAATAAACAATTTTTCACTGGGGAGAGATGTCCACCCATGGCATTATTTACTTTTAATATTTACATTTGGGGAGACTTATCCTGGGTAGACTTGTCCTGCATTTGTCACTGTTTTAATAAACATTTTTTAACTGGAGAGTGATGTCCCGGGGAGACTTGTCCTGAATTTGTCACTGTTTTAATATACATTTTTTAACTGGGGAGTGATGTCCCGGGGAGACTTGTCCTGAATTTGTCACTGTTTTAATTAACAATTTTTCACTGGAGAGAGATGTTCCGGGGAGACTTGTCCACCCATGGCATTATTTACTTTTAATATTTACATTTGGGGAGATATGTCCCTGGGAAGACTTGTCCTCTGGGAGGAGCTGTCCATGGGAAGACTTGTCAATGGGAAGACTTGCCCTGGGACTCTCTAAATCTGAATCAGCGATAAGTATGCCACTATTTCAGTTAGCGTATATGCGCTGTGAATTAGTGAAATTTCACTAAATAATCAGTGAAACTTCACTGATTAATTAGCGCATATACGCTGTTTTAAAATAGTGGCATACTTATCGCTGAGAATCAGTGAAATTTCGCTGATTCAGATTTAGAGAGGAGGACTTGTCCGGGGGAGACTTTCTGGGTGTGACTTGTCTCATATTCAAACATCAAATAACAAAAACCACTATTATTATATACATATATAACATAACTTATAATTATTTACCATTTGATATTAAATAAAATCGAATTCATCAACAATAGTAATAATCAAATTTTAAATACAGTACCGTCCGAAATTGTCAGTCCACCCATTTTCAAAGGAATGAAAAAAATTTTTTAACATAAAATTCATGAAAACTAAAATTTTTTTTGGTTTATATTTTGAAACACGATAAAATTTTGAAAAGAATAAGACCTCACGGAAGTCATTTGGCCAAAATTTGTAGAAGATATTCTTAAAAATCGTCATATCATATATATCATATCATGTTTTATATATGTTCTAGAATAGTTTTTAGTACAAAAAATTTATTTCAAATTTTTCCAATTTTTTTGTCCAACTTTAACGTTATGCTTATTCCAAATAAAAAATTACAGGTTAATGCCTATAAGTAATTCTTATTCCGTAGAAAATGTCCTTTAAAATAAGCCTAAGATTATTAAAAAGCGTTCATTATTTTAGAAGTTATTCAAATTTTTGTAAAACATTGAAAATAACGATTTTTAAGAATATCTTCTACAAATTTTGGCCAAATGACTTCTGTGAGGTCTTATTGTTTTCAAAATTTTATCGTCTTTTAAAATATAAACCAAAAAAATTTTGAGTTTTCATAAATTTTATGTTAAAAAATTTTTTTCATTCCTTCAAAAATGGATGGACTGACAGTTTTGGCCGGTACTGTACTTACTATTAAGAACGGAATGAACGCACCCTTAAATATTTCACTATACCTTGACCCAAAAATCTCCAGAAATTGTAAAGTTACCTTTAATCGAAATGTCATAACAACGTGAATTGAGATTAGTGTATTTCAATACAAGTTTTTCTAAATAATGTGCTCATTTTATATAATTTCTCCTAAGAAAAAATGGAAGATTTAGACGAATTATTATTCGTCTAAATAGAATAGGATTTGTTTATTACTTTGATTGGTCTAAATCATCCATTTTTCCTTAGCGGGTTGGGATTATATGTTTTATTTTTCAAATATTATTAATTAGATTCTCCATTTTGTTTAACTCAACCAACAAATAAAACATTGCATTTTGAAAATAGGAGGAGTTTATTTTTATTGGCCAGAAGTCTTTTTTTAATCGGTTAAAACTAAATGTAACTTTTTAAAAATTAAATATTTACTCCCTTTTTGCACTGTTGAACCAATGAATAAAAAATTTGCTTTCTTTAAGTAGGAGGAGTTTTAATCTTATTTTTATTGGCTAGAAGTCAATTTTTTGTCAAGGGTTGAGCTTAAATTTTATATATTCGCTTCATATTTTGTTCAACTGAAGCAACAAATAGAAAAATTTCTTTCTTTATGTTGGAGAAATTTGATTATTATTTTCATTGGTGTGAAGCATCCATTTTTTCTTTAGGGTTGGGATTATATGTTTTATTTTTAAAATATTATTCTTTTCTCCATTTTGTTTAACTTAATCAACAAATAGAAAAATTGATTTTGAAAATAGGAGGAGTTTATTATTTTGATTGGTCTAAAGCAACCATTTTTTCTTTGGGGGTTAAGGTTGTATGTTTTATTTTTCAAATATTAATTATTTTCTCCATTTTGTTTAACTTAACCAACAAAAAGAAAAATTGATTTTGAAAATAGTAGGAGATTGTTTCTTATTTTTATTCGGCTAAGCATCAATTTTTTCTTTTGGGGTTGGGATTATGTTTCATTTTTTAAAAATTAAATATTTCCTTCTCCTATTTACAAAAAGCAATGTTTTTATTCGTTGCTCCATTGAAAAAAATTGTAAGAATATTAAAAATTTTAAAAAACATAAAGTTTTATTTTAACTTCTAAAGAGAAAAAGGAGACTTTGGGCCAATAAAAATAAGATTGGTAAAGTATAGATATTACTTTAATATCACTTTACCATTTGCATTTAATTAAATTACAAATTTTATTGTGTAATTGATCTTATTCATATACATAATTAATATTTTTACATTCTTTTACCAAGGTAAATTATTTTTTCCTTTATTTACATCGTTTTCATAAGTAATTATGAAAAATAACCTTGCTATAAAATCTCAATGAAATCTGTGCACATTTTAGTTAATTATTAATTATTCAAAGCTTTCTTTGTAAAAATCTTTCCATAATTTCATTCTCCAAATGTTCCTTTTCAATTTCCAATCGTTTTTCTCATCAAATTCTGTCTTTTAACAGAATTATAAAGCCATTTACCAAATGTTTTCCAAATGTATACCCACGTTGGGAGACATTTGGTAGCACAAATCAAAGTTAGTGAAATTCATGGACTTGAAGTGCATAAATTTGTCCCAGTTCTGAACACACTTTGAGTGCATTATTCTCATGCACTTTAACCTCAAAGTGTGTAACTTCAATATAATTTGAAGTGCATAAAATATAAAATGCATAAGAATTACACACTTTGACGTCAAAGTGCATGAGAATAATGCACTTTAAGGTGTGTTCAGAACTGGGACAATCAAAGTGCATGAATTTTACTCACATTAATTTAGAGTACGCTTAATTCATATATAAAATATACTTTACTTAAAATTTTAATCTTATGGAAAATTCTTGAAAAACCCTTTCCTTACATGGGGCCCCCTGTCAAGTAAATTCGGCCCTGCTCGGACGTAAAAGTTTATTCAATATTTGATAAGGTTTTATTCAATATATTTATTTCTCTTTCTGACATTTATTATTATTATTTATTTATACACCCGTCTTAAGCCTACAATCTTAGCTTTACAAGTGTTTTTACAACTGTAGAAATTTTTCTTACAAACATTCTTAATACTTAAATACTCAATTTTTGCGCCTACAGAGCGACTTGAAAATTAGGAGTACTCGCATTTGCCTGGACCACCCGTTTAATGGGTTTTCTCACCAGTGGAGAGGGAAACTGTAGAAATTGTTTAAATTTGTTTCAATTTGAGAGGAATAATTTCAATCAAAGAAGAAAGATTAAAATTCATCTTTTAGTTAAAAAACTTTTAAATATAAACAAAAATTCCTCTTTTTTGTAGATGAATATTCGTATAATGAAAATAAAATGTAAAAATAATTGTTAAGCGGAATTTTCTTCTCACTTTGAGATTTTATTTTTTTCGGTGTACAATCGGTTTATCGACAGTCGAGTTCTAATGGTGTGTACCGGACAATAATCGACAGTGCACATCATTATACCTCGACGTCAAACCTCCCGCTCAAATTATCTCACGTGCCGGAAAAATCCCAGGCCAAATGGTTGCGAACCAAGTACCCTTGGTCGTACAGCGTCCGCCGAGCGAGGCACCCATCCGACCGAGCTAATCTGTCGGTCTCTCACATTTAGTGAATTAAATTTGCAAAATTAGGTCATTTTCCAGGTGAACTTTAAAATAATCTTTCATTTAATATTTCTTATAAATTATTTTTTTTATTAGTGTATAATAATAAACTAAGTCATTCTTAATAAATTCTAATTATTTTTTTTCATAGTAAATTATGTGTTTTCTTTAATATTCCCCAATAGATGAAAAAGTGACAGTTTTTACGACTTCATATACTTTAGGTGCTTATTTTGCAATAAATATTAAAAATATTTTAAAAATTCTTTTTGTTCACCTTTTGTTCCTGCAAAATATTATAATTTTTTAAAATTATTCGGCAACATATAATAATGAAGCAATATAATAATGAAATATAAGCAATATATAATGAAATGACTCCACAATATATTTTAATTTCGAAGAATTTAAAAACAGCGAAAACTATTTTTCAGGTTCATTGATGTTTTTATTCACAATGTTTTTCATGGACGGTCCCGTGAAAGACGATAAAACAATCGACACTGCAGAATCGGGTCACGATAACAGAACATACATTGACGATGAGGGTAAAGCATCAACTTTAGAATTACCACGATTACCAGCAAGGATACCCGATCCAGATCATTCAAGATTGTAAAATATAAAAGAAAAGTTATTTTAATATCCAAAGAAATATCACTGTGATTATTATAATTGCAATGAGAGTATATAAAAAAGGAGTCTGTTAATAAAGTTCTATTACGACAAAAAGAGATAACTGCAAAAAAAGAAGTAGTAAATAAAAATGAAGAAAAAGAAGAAAAAACATTAGTAGTTCTAGTTCTACATTCACAGCATCTGAAGAAGCTGGATCAAAATACCCGCGGGGAAAAGATTTGAAAAATCTCTTTTGGTGTGTTAAAACCTACAGAAAAGTTATTTTTAAAGTTTGCGACTTGGAAAAAAATCTCTCTTTAACAAAAAAAGAAGTGTGCGTGACTGTATAATCAAATTTCATGAACGACTTTTCTTTATGTATTTTTAAAAAGTATTTAAGATTATGAATATTTTATAATATATATTATAAGACTTAGACTTTATAAATTTTTCTCTTTAATAGAAATTAAATCTCCTTCTTAATAAAAAGAATTTCCAACCAATTTTTTCTTTCTAATAAAGTTCGGAATGTAAATTAAATTCAATCTTTTGCGAAAGTCTCTGAAATAAAGAGATCTTATTAAATTTTGATTAATTTTTCTCCCTTTTATTAACTCAATTTTCTCGTACCGCTGGTTGATTCTCTTTATTCGAACTTTTTCTATTATTATTAGATTTATATTCTGAAAGTATTATAATTCAGGGAAATTATAATATTTAGAGATTAAAAATAGTTTAAAAGAAAAATATATTCGAACAACTAATTTTATAAATATTACTTAACCCTTTAACGCCCAAATGTGTTGATTTTTAATTTCAGTTTCAAGCTTATAATATTAAAAGAAAAAAATTATTAAAAATTCTACAAGGACATGTCCATGTTTTTTGGGTCGCTCTTTCGAATGGCAAAGTCAAAATTTCCAAAAAGTGACGTTTAACCCTTATTTTTTTCAAAAATACTCAAAAAATATAAAATTTTGGGAAGTAATTTTTCTTAAAATCCAATTTTAGTTGTGATATTGATTTTTTCAAGTCATCTAAAGTTTAAAAAACGAATTCCCGATAGTTTTAGTTTAAAAATATGCTTTGCGTTTAAAGATTTTTGGTATTTTTTTATTTAAAATGGCGGCTGAAATTAAAAAATTTTCAAAAATTTAACACAGGATGGATACAATTTTTAAAAGTTCTTGAAATCGCTTGAAATTTGTTACTCGGAGGTTTTCGGATTCGCTAATTACGAATTTGAAGTCAGATTTAAAAAATTAAAATTGGCGGATTCAATATGGCGCACCACAAAATTAAAAATGCAATGTATTCGCTTAAAATTTGTTACTAGGGAGTTTTTGGGCTTGCTGATTACGCATCTAAAGACATATTTTAAAAATTCATAATACAATGATATTTTTTCTAAGGCAAATCATGATTTTGATTCCTTTTTAAAGGGACATGAGCAGTTGTAAAATCCCATTGAAATATGCCTATTTTTAGGAACCATTTTCTTATTTCCAAATAATTTTTTATCACACACTTTTTTTCTGCTGATTTTATATACAAAGGACTAAATTCTGATCGTTCGATTATGCCAAATATTTATTTTTGAATTTTCTGTGCGATTTTGAAAAAACAATTACCCGTTTTCATGGTCTTTTTGGTTAAATAATCAAATAACTTTAAATATACTAATTATTTGTCCATTGTATATCAAATCAGCAGAGAAAAAGTTTGATGAAAAATAATCAGAGCTGAGAAAATGGTACATAAAGATAGGCATATTTCAAAGAGATTTGACAACTGCTCATGCCCTGTTAAATATTCTAACATACGATAACGTCTTTGTAGCCAATAGGATAAAGTTTTAATTTTATCATCAGCTATATTAAATCTGTCATTTTGAATTTTTAAAATCTGATTTCAGATTCATAATCAGCGACCCCGAAAACCCCCGAGTAACAAATTTGAAGCCAATATATGAAGTTTCAATATTGTCGTCCGCCATATTAAATCCACCATTTTGAATGTTTTTAATTTGATTCCAGATTCGTAATCAGCGACCCTAAAAACCCCCGAGTAAGAAATCTTAAGCGAATACGATGGATTTTTAAGTTTGTCGTCCGCCATATTGGATCCGCCATTTTGAATTTTTTAAATATGACTTCAGATTCGTAATCAGCAACCCCAAAAAAGTCCGTGTAACAAATTTGAAGCGATTTCAAGAACTTTTGAAAATTGTATCCATCCTATGTTAAATTTCGGAAAATTTTTTACTTTAAGGCGCCATTCTAAATAAAAAAATACCAAAAATCTTAAAACGCAAAGCATATCTTTAAACTAAAACTATCGGGAACACGTTTTTTAAACTTTAGATGACTTGGAAAAATCGATATCACAACTAAAATTGGATTTGAAAAAAAATTGGTTCCCAAAATCTTGTATCTTTTAGTATTTTTGAAAAAATAAGGGGTAAACGTCAATTTTTGGAAATTTTGACCTTACCATTCGAAAAAGCGACCCCAAAAACGTAGGGATATGTCCTTGTAGAATTTTAAATAATTTTTTTCTTTCAATATTATGAGCTTGAAACTAAAGTTAAAAATCAGTACATTTGGGCGTTAAAGGGTTAAGGAAAAGAATTGTTATACTAAAAAAAACAGGTGAACAATTTATTGTTAACAAAATGAAATTGAAAAAAATTATTTTATTTAAAATTTAAATTGAAATTATATTGAAATTTTATTTTAAAAGTATGTAAATAATATGTAATTTGATTTAAAAAATTATTTAACTCAAAAGCATAAATTTCTGATTGAAATAATAATTATTTGATTAAAACAAAAATTTGATTTCAATAAAAATTATTATTTGACCCGAAAAAAATAAATTGATATAAAAATATTTTTTTGACTCGAATAATAATTATTAGACTCAAACATCAACTATTCGTCTTAAAAAATAATTATTTGACTTAAAAAATAATTATTTGACTCAAACAATAACTATTCGACTTGAATAATAATTATTTGACTCCAACAATAATTACTTGATTTTAATAAAATTATTTGACTTGAACAAACATTTTTTGACTTAAATTACAATTATTTTATACACAAAGACAATTTTTTGACTCAACTAATAATTATTAATCTAAAAAATTATTATTTGATTTAAATCAAATAATAATTTTCAAATAGTTAATTGTTTAACAATTACTAGTCTAGTTAAAAAAATTTTTTTTTTTCAAATTCTGATATTACATATTAGTCTAAAAAATGATTATTTGTACTTAATAATGATTGTTTGACTCAAACATTGTAAATTGAATCAAAATTTAATTCAATTGACTTAAAAGATAATTTTTTTACAAAAATTATAATTATTAGACTAAAAGCAATAATTGTTTAACTACAATAATAATTATTTAACTCGAATAATAATTATTTGTTTCAACTAATAATTATTTGCTTTGTAGAATATTCACATATGACATATAAATTATTTGACTCGAATAATTTTATAATAATAATTTATAATAATATTTATTTTTTAATAAGTTTATACTAATTTAACAAAATATAATTATTTGACTCAAGAAAATATTCACTCAAATAAAAAATATTTTGCTAAAATAATAACTACTCTTAAAATAATGTCATGATAAAAAATAAAAACTGTGTGACAATTTTAGTAAAATATAGAATATATTTTTACCGATTTTGACAGTTTTAAATTTGTAAAGAAAATTTTACAAAATAATTCTATCTGTAATAGTAAATAAATGTAGATTTATCTCAAATTATTATGTATTTTACATATACCTAACTATATTTTTAAGACAAAATAAAGATTTGAAGTAAAAAAAATTCGATATAGTTTAATTTTTATTTGAAACATTATTTTCTTTCACTTTTTCTAAATATTTTAATTGATATACACGGAAAAAAAAGTTCACGAATCTCTCGTGAACTAGTATATCACTTTTGGATGGGACACAAAATTTCAAAATTTTCATTCACTTTTGATTAGAAATGGCGAACGTCAACGAAAAACTGAAACAAAGTTAATGAATTTTTGATGAACTGTTAATGAAGAGTAGTTCGTCAAAAGTAGAGGTACCAGTTCACGAAAAAATCGTGAACTCGCGAGTGTCAGTAGTATGCGCAGTTCGTAATGCGCATCAAATATGGCTGATCAAGCATTCATCATTCAGTCGGTGTCATCGGTGTTTACATTCGGGAAAATTCTTTGATGAAAGTTATTATTTAGAATCAGTGTTTTTTATTACTTAGTGAATATTTTTGTTTGCTAATTTCCTTTGTGAAACAAATAATTCATAAAATGAATTAAAAGTTACGATAAGGGACTTTTTCTACTTTGCACGGTCCTGAGTTTTACAGCAGACAAAGCTAATCGTTTCGTTTGTCGAAGGACAGTGTATCTAGATTTAGCCGTGGCGGTTAGTTGTTAAAAATATTATGTTATAGGGTATAGGTACTAGGTTCGAATCCCGTGAAGCGAATTACGAATTTTAATGGCGATAAAATTGTGTATTCTGTGTAGTTGGATGCGTAATAGGCGTCAAGTTATCAAATAAAGTGAAATACTATAAAAAAGTAGTGTCTGGAAACTATTTTTTCTTGTGTTTAGCATTTTTTAAAAGTTCACGAATTTTTCGTTAACTTTGACGAAAAGTTCGGAAACCGTACTATGTTTCTAGTGAAGGAGTTGATGAAATTTTGACGAACTGTGTTTGTTGATTTTCAAGAATTTTGTGTCCCATCCAAAAGTGATATACTAGTTCACGAGAGATTCGTGAACTTTTTTTTTCCGTGTAATAATAGTATTCTAATATTATTAGTGTTAAAAATATTTCTTATAGTAGGGTAGTAGCACCAGTGATAGAACATTTAAGGAAATGTATACCTTTGATAAGTTTTACTTTTAAGGTATTAGTCGCGCAGCTGGCTCTGGCTAAAAGTTTACCGGGCCGCTTACAAGAGTGGGGCAGTCAGAGTGAGAAAGACAGTTTAACTCCCCACTCTATTCGTTCGTATAAAAGTTCATGTAATTTAACTATTTTTTTACCTTTTTGTCAATATATTTATAGTTTGGTGCGGTCAAAAAATGTCATGTTTTTTTATTCATTTGTTTCATCTAATTTGAATACTTTGGTAGTTTTATTTCAAAATCTGACGATTAGTTATCATATAAATAATTGAGGTGACGGATTCTAAAAGGGGATACGCGTGGATTCACGCGTTTAAGTTTTGTACACTAGGTCCATTTTTAAAACTATTACAAATTGCAATTTGAATTACTGAAGTTTGTAGAGAATGAAAATGCGCATCTTTTTTCTTTAAGAAATAAATTTATATCTTTTTTAGTTTATGAAATAATGAGAAAAAACTAAATTTTTGAAAACCAAAAAATTTTAATGTTTTACGTCTTCAACTCGTGATGGCGTTTTTGATTTTTCATATTTTGTAATCAAACAAAAACGAACTTACAGATTAAGACTTTCTGAAACCAACTATACTTTTGAAACTACAAAATCTTAATTAATAAAAAGTTTATTAATTTTTTCGAAAGACGTTGCAAAAAATGTGTTTTTCCAACTTTCAACGCTTCGTTTATCGAGGAAATTTCAAGGTACAAAAAACTTCCAGTGACAAAGTTTTTCATTACTATACGGACAAGTTTTCTGTAAAATTTTATTAACATGATATGAATGCTTACAAAGTTATAAATGTTTAAAGAGTATGGTGCGTCAGATT